TCCACAGAGGTACCAACAGAATACTGGGCTGTGGACAGATCCGGCCAGGCAGGGCATTGGGCACTTGGCATAGGGAAAGGTGCAGGGTCAGCTATAAGACTCCATGACACTCACCATATTCATTGACCAGCCCTCTCTGATCCCAAGATCACTGTAGTAAATTATGTAGCCAGGACACCAAAAGGGATTGATATCTTTGAAGGATGGAGCATACTGTCCAAGTGGAGTCTGCAGCCAGAGTGCTAGAAGCACTGACTATGGCTGACCATGAAGCTGCTTTCTCCATCTGTGCCTGGATGCAGGCCAGGAGAGGTGGAGCACAAGAAGTCACAGGATACACTTTTGTTTTCTGTATCTTCCTGTGGGGGCTTCCACGTGCATCCTGCTACCCATAAACCATGGTGAAGCTTCCTAAACATGTAGGGTTTTGTGAGTGTGCACAAATAATCATGTGCTTATAGATGTGTAGGTGCATATTATAAACACATGTGTCTGGAGGTGGTGCGGAAGAGAAGCTGCAGTGGAACTTATGGCCTAAGCTCTTCGGTGAGACAAAATGAAATAAGATAAAGCTCTCCAGAGAGCCATGTATGTTTAAATGTAAGAAAACGTACAGAAGTCCAGCGTGCCTTGGGAGACAGAACCAAGCTTGAAAAAGACAAGAAATGGAGTCATTTGTTATCATGAGCAAGCTCTGACTTTGTAATAAAAATAAGGACAAAAAAGGTTGCTAGTCTGCAGCCTCTCAGTGACAGGATTCCAGGCACCTGCAGTCTTCATCTTTGTTCTTTTACGTATTTTCTAACTGTTCCACAGTAATTACCTTCCATTTTTGAAAGAGCTATATATTATTTTTATTAAAAGAATTTATACACGTTAAAGATAAACTCAGTGGCATTCAGCATTAAATTCATTTGTTATTCATCCTATGAAAGGTATTTTTCTAGCTGAGTCACGGTTGACCCACTTGAATGAATAGGTGCCCAAGACCATAGTTTTGTATCCAACTCAAGAATTTTTCCTGAAAGACCAGCACCTGTCATTGAGCCACTAGTCCCTAAATTCTAGTCAGTGACATGGCCATGGAGTATAGGCCTGGGAAAATTTTAGGAGCCACATTTGAGTCCATGCAGAATATTTCTTTCCATTGTATCACCCCCTTGATGTGTTCTTATCACTACACAGGAAGAGAACGAGTCCTCAGGGATGGGGACACCGACAGCATGGTCAATACCTGAGGACAGGCTATATAGGAAGAGCCTGGCTGGACTGCAAGGCACACCTGGACTGTGACTTGGGTCCAAATGTTCCAGAAGGTAAAGCTATAGAAATTCATAGGGATGCCTCTCTAGACAGAGAAGAGAGAAAGAGACAACAATACAACAGTAAGAAACTTCTGTGATCCCTGTCAACAATGGGTGAAACACTCAGACAGGAAATCCAGAAGGAAACAAGCTCTAGAGCTGACATAGTAGTCACAGAGAACACAGCTGACAGGATGAGTGCGACAACAGGCAGAACATCCCACCAGGATTAGCAGAAGACACACTTCTCCAAAGCCTACAGGTTTTCTAGGATACACTTAACAAGTCTAGCAAGACTGAGAACGTATCAAACATTTCCCTAAACACAGCAAAATTGAGCTAAAGGTCATTAAGGAAATGAATAGAATTCACAGACAACAAGAAAATAAGGCAATTCACAGAAACATGGAAATTAAGCAATGATCTCTTAAACAACCATTGTGTCAAATAAGGCATGCAAAGGAAAACTAGAAACTATCTTGAGCCAATTGGTACTGAAACTCTACAAAGCAAAGCCTCTGTGTGTAGGAAGACAACCCTCCCCAAAAGTCTAAGCTTAAGTACCAGTATTAAAAAAAGAAGACAGATCTAAAGCACATTTCTATACCCCAAAGGATCATAAAAAGATGAAATCAAGCTCAAAGCTAGTGGAGGAAAGAAAAATGAACACTAGAGTGGAAATACATAGAAGAGAGAATAGGTAAAGTAAGGAAGCTGAAGGAGACAAATATTGTTTTATAAAATCGGTTAAATTGATATGCCCTTAGACAGACAGACAGACAGACAGACAGACAGAGACAGACAGACAGACAGACAGACAGACACACACACACACACACACACACAGAGAGAGAGAGAGACAGAGAGACAGAGACAGAGACAGAGACAGACAGACAGAGAGAGACAGAGACAGAGAGAGAGAGAGAACAAGAAATTAAAAAACAAAAATCAGAAGCAGAAGAGGAAACACTGTAATAATAGGCATGGAAATAAAATGGACTATTGCGAAAAACTGCATGCCAACAAACTGGACAACTTAGAAGTAATAGGCATATTCTAAGAATTATAAAATCAATCAAGATTGAACTAAGATCAAGTCTTAGACAACATAGAGCCCAGAATCAGAGGGCTTTATTGTGAATTCTATCAACCATTCAAAGATAATGCCAATCTTTTTAAACTATTCAACAAAACAGAAGAGAACCTCCCTTTCTCAGAGATAGTATCTTACAAGTTAGCCCTGGTTTGTCTGAAACTCACTATGCAGACTAACTTGCACTCAATCATGTGACAGTCTTCTTGTCTCTGTCTCCCAAATGGTACTGTGAACAGTTGTGAGCCCAGACCGACTTATTTTCTGAGGTTACCATTGCTGTCACCATAAAATAAAAGTATCACAAGAAAAATTAAGACTATGATAAAATTAAGACAAAATACTAGCAAACCACAGGACATACTGCATCAAAAAGATTGCTTGCAGTTACCACGTAGTACATCCGTCTAAGATGCAAGGATGGTTCAGCACATGCAAATTATGCAATGTTTATGTGATACACCACATAAACAATAAAAGCAAGAACAGAAGCTGCAAGGTCTGATAGACACAGAACAATCACAAGGATCTTACACTTTATGATAAAAGCTCGAATAAATTAGGATCAGCAGGAGTTTACCTCCATATAATAAGGGCCCCTGGGATAAGCCTCATGACATCATAAGGATAAGGTCAAAGACAAGACAAGATGTTCATTCTGCCACTCCTATTCATAGGATAGTAGGAGTCCTAGACAGATTACTTAGACAAAAAGATAGGAAAGGCTTGCAAACTAGAAAGAAAGAAGTGAGATCACCTAGGCAGGTGAGCCAATACAGAATGCAGAAAAACCTCAGAGAAAAAACACTTCTAGAAATGATCAATGAATTCATTACAATCTTAGGATACAAGAGAAACACAGCAAAGTTCTCTTCATTCCTATGCACCATCAATGAACTAGTACAAAAGAAATTAAAAAAACAATTCCAATTGCAATACCAGCCAAAAGGATAACATCCTTAGGAATCAACTCAACCAAGAAGTTAAAGCTAAAACACTAAATAATGAAATAAAAGATACAGTTATACATAAAGATATCTCATGTTCACAAACTGAAAAAATTCAGTGTTACAATGTCCATAATACACAGAGTGATCTTGAGATTCAATGCAGTCTTTGAGAAAAATCATAATGGAAATCCTATTGAAACAGAAAAAAAGAATCTGTAAATTTGTATGGAAAAGAAACCCTGGGTACACAAGGGAAATTTGAGCAAGAATACAGATGAAGGTATTATACCTCCCAAATAAAAGTGTATCAAAAGCCTGTAATAACCAAAACCACAAGGTACTGGTCCAAAAGTAGACATATGGATGACGGGGTGGATTGAAAGCCCAGACGGAAGCAGTACAGATCCAGTGTAATGATCTTCTACAAGGCTGCCAGAATACCTGAGGAGGAAAAGGCAGTCCCTCTAACAAATCGTGTTGCAAGGCTGGATAGTCATAGCCAAAGAAGGAAATTGGACTTAATCTTACCTTAGACATTCAGATCTTACCAGAGATATTAAGATGCAAGCCACATACTTGACAAAGGATTAAAACAGATTAAGCTATCAAATATAAGTCCTGAGAATTTAAAGTTTTTTTTTCAAAGAGAACAGAAGGGAAACTCTTCTTGCCTTAGGTCTTGGAGATGCTTCTTGGCTGTGATCCCAGAGCACTGACAAGAAGGACTTCATCAAACTAAGATGCTTCCATAGGGAAAGAAAAGCCAGTGGGATGGAAGGCAGCTGGCAGGACAGGGGACAAGGTTTGCAAACCATATGAGGGGCTAATTTTCAAAATCTGTAAAACATATCTAATTTGTTAGCAAAAACCCATTGCACAATCTATTAAAAATGGGCAAAGAACTGAATAGACTGTTCTCAGAAACAACATAGAAATGCAGGTACATGGAAAGTGCTTGGCATGCTATCTAGGACCTGCAAACCCAAACCATAAGGTGTCACCGCACACCTGTCAGTCAGGGAGCTGTCATCTACACATCCAAAGATGACAACTGATCCCAAGATGAGAAGAAAATAACATTTTGTTTGGTCACTATGGAAAACACCATAGAGGCTCCTAGACAGGAGTAAACTGAGCAGCCATATGGCACTCAGTTTCATTTTTTTTTTTTTAAAGAAATGGGAGTAATCACTATCTGATATAAGACAGGCATGGTAACTCATGCCTGTAATCTCAGTAATAGTGAAGCTGAGGCAGGAGGATTAATGAGAGTTCCAGGCCAGCTGGTGCCACTACCCTGTGAGCTCTAGGCTACTGTGGGCTACAACTTATCTCAAAAAAATGAGTGAAAAGGGACTTGACATATACCATCTGCTGTACATCTGGGGTTATACAGAAAGCACTTACTATTGAGCTATATAGATATCTGTACAATACAGAGAATTCAGACATCAACGTGTAAAAGCCTAGGCCACTGATTCCCCCTCCTCCCTTTGGGCAAGAAAAGCTCTACTGAGAAAATCTACCCATGTCATATGATTCATCTAGTAAAATATACATTCTAGAGGTTGTTAGTTGCTGGCATGTTATACTGTTATTTTTTTATTTATGGAAATGTTAAATAAACTGTCATTTTAAGCAAACCATTTAGTGACATTCAAACAATTCTTCAGAGAGTTGCATGCCATCCTTGTACAGTGGTCATATTAAGCTTTTCTGTATCATTCTGTTTAGTATATATATGCTGAGGAAGCAAGTGCTTGGTCTCTGGCATCATCAAAGATGAAGCTAAAGGAACCAAAGCACTGTAGCCATTTGCAAACTGGGCATCAATCAGCGAAGTATCACCACTTTTATTCCAGTCTCACATTTCATAGGATATCAGTCAGGATGGGTGGGAGATTTAGATCTGGTGTTCTGAGATACGGAAGGGCCTTTTCATGCAGCAAGGCTGACCCCAAACTCTTGATCTTCTTGCTTCTGTCCACAAAGTGCTATGGTTACAGGAATACACTACAATACCTAGCTAGATAATAGGCTTATGTATAAAACATAAATCTATGAGATGTTAGAAGAAAATACTTGGGGCCTAGATCTTTGTGACCTTGATAATAAAATCAATACAGTAAACATTATTAAAGTTAAAGCATTTGCTCCATGAAAGGCCCTGAGACATAAAAGTATTTATTATGTATTTCCAAATAGCTAGACAAGAGGATTTTTAAATATTTTCCAAACAGAAATGACAAATGTTTGAGGCAATGGATATGATAATAAGTTTGATTTATTCATATTATACATTGTACATACTTATCAAATTCAATGCTGAGAACTAGAAATATGTCATCTAGCCATCTATCTATCTATCTATCTATCTATCTATCTATCCATCCATCTATTAATTAAAGTGAAGAGAGAAGATACAGGCTGAGACAGATTTACAGACCACATACTTGACAAAAGAACTTACTCAAATTTATAGGGAACTCCTGAAATGCAACACTAAAGACGGATCAATTAGAGCGTGGGCAAAGGAGAAGAACTAACTCTTCCATGTGTTGGACACATCTGCATGTGTTGATGATCAGGCTTTTGCTTCTGTGGCTTGTTCTGTCCTCACTCTTTTCACCAGAAACCACTCAAAATCCCTGCCTACAGCTCTCCCTCTCCTCGCTTCCTGAGCAGCCCTTGTGCTTCTTTGGGTGGTCTCCTGTGACATGGCACGACATGCCATCTCCCCCAGGAACTGTGAACAAGTGTCCATTTCTCCCTTCATTCATTCCCTTTTCTCTAATAGAACCAGGAACCAAATGTGGGGACTTTCCATGCTAGGCAAGTGCTGAGTCACACCTTCAGCCTTCTCTCTACTTTTTGAAAGGCCGAGGAAGAGCTTCTCATTAAGTTCCAAGCTTGGCCTTGAACTATAGGTTGCCCTTGAGTTTGCAATCCAAAGGAACTGGTATTAAAGGCCTGTGCTATTATGCTACATGACAACTATCTTTTCAATGGCAGTCAGTTTCCTGAACTACTGATCTTATTAGTTGTCAGATTGTCTGCGGACACATAACCATGTGTTCCTGAGCCTGTGTATGTCTGTGTTTTGGTTCCTTGAGTGCCCACTGACACCGGACTGGAGCAATTTCTTGCTTCAGCTCAATCTCTGTGATTACAAGTATAATCCATAAAGCCCAGTTCGATCCCTTCCTTCGTCTTTTCCCCATTCTTTTCTGCTCCTCACTTTTTATTTCATTTTCTTCTTGTGGGATTGATCCTAGAATCTTGTCCACACCAGGTAAAGGCTTTAACACCTTAATCCTGAGCCAAAGCTCTGATCCTCACACCATTTTAAAGCAACTTGCCTTTGAGATTATGACCAAACCTCACATACTCTGCCCCCCTTTACAAAAATACTCCCATTCTTAGTCACAGTTTTCTAATTGCTTCATCAAACCCAGAATTAGAAGGGATCCATTAGAATATGAATAAAGAAACAGAGCTACCATTTCCAATTTGCTTCCCACTGGAAAGAATGAATCCAGCAAGGCTCTGTCTCCTCCCCTATGCATTGCATGATACCCTCACATCAGAAGTTTTATGGGGAAGAGAATAAGTCTACATCCATTGTTGGAGATTATGAGTAATTCTTCCTACTCTGTTTATGGCTCAGAAGAGGTCCCACGACAGATCTCAAAGACAGGAGTACATAGAGATGAACAGCTTTAGGCCAAACACCATGACCTGGCTAGCTTAGGGAAGAGCAAAGCTAGAATCTCTAATCGTACACAGGGGTGTGGGTGTTAAAAACAGCTTTGGCTTTACTAGTGAGCAGAGGAGGCAGGCCCTCTGTAACTGCCACAAGGAATAGATCATGGGAGGATGGGCTCTCGGCAGGCCAGCTTTAGTCTGCAGTCTATTTCCTGAGAAGGTGGCTTCATGCAGGGAGCAAGAGTGCCCTTTAGTGCCTCTCATTTCTCCCCTAGGCTGTGAGCAGCATTGCCTGTTCCTAAATTCCTGTGTCTCCCTTGCTTTTTCTTATTTATCACCACTGTCCATGTTGCTGCAAGCTTGCTCGCTATAAATCACCTTGAAACCGCTAGATCCTCTGGGGGAAATAAATTCTACAATGTCAACTGTGTGATGATATCAGTAATATCTACTGAGTCCTGAAAAATGGAAAAACACAGAACCAAGACTACAAAAGGTTTCACCTTCTCAGCATCTCTTAGAGCAAGCTGTCTGAATGGTCTCACGGGCTTTAATTTTGAAAGGGGAGTCTCCTGTTTGCTCAGAGGTTCAAAGTGCATCATGGGTCTTTTAAAAATCATTTTATTTTTTAAATGTTTTTATTTATGCAAAGAGACTTTGACACCACATATAAAACCTATATATGTTGACCTTTAGTCACAGATTTAAATTGCTTAAATGATAATGGTCTGAAAGTCCTTTTATTTTAGAACTGCATAGTAAAATCTAGACAATCAGGATAAACATTCTTGACATGGTGGTCAATGTTATGGAATAAATTTCTTGGGATAATGATAAAAATTCTTTCAAGGGGTATAAACAGCAGCAGTCTTGGTACTTTGAAAAAATCTTGTGTGGGAAGATCATGGACAACTATGGTACTCAATCAAAATGTGGGTTCTACAGCAGACTCCGAATAGAAAGTATTTCAGAAATGCCTTATTAATTTATTTTGTAAAAAGTAAAAATAAAAGTCTTATCTGAATTCTAAGAGATTGATTCCTGGAAGTACTCAAGTTCTGTAAAAAAAAATAAAATAAAATTAACCAAACCTGGCCTCACAGAATCTTTATCATCTCATTATCTGATGATATCTTTGTCATTTTGCCTCATCTAAGGTATCTAAACATTAGGAGTATATTCTAGATCATTTTCTCCTGCAAAGGATTTCCTGGTGAGGTGCCTCACTTTGGGAAGCAACATTTGGTGTACTTCCTATCTAGGTAAAAACTGAACACAGACGCTATGCCACATGTAGCTTCATAAAGGAGGGAGATTTGGCAAAAGCAACATGCAGAGTATTTGATAAAGGACTCGGCTCCACAGCAAATATGGTGAGGTACCCTGGTTTCTAACTCACAACACACACACAGATCTAAGTCTAAGTTAATGATAGTCCTGACTGTGAAGGGGGAAATTAACGCCTAGGGGTTAGGGAGAGGCCTCAGTGCACAAGACTTGATATTCAAGCATAAGGACCCAGGTGTGAATCCCTAGTAATCACGTAAAGAGCTGTGGATGTATGTATGTGCCGGTAACTTCAGTATTGGGAGCATAGAGAGGGGAACATTCTGAGAGCTGCCAGTTTGGCCAGTCTAGCTATAATGGGGAGCTCCTGATTTAATGTAGGACTTTGTGCAAGGCAGTAAGTTGCAAAGAGATAGAGAACGATACCTAATGCCCTATACTGGCCTCTACAGTGGCTCAGTATGAGATAGAGAGGTGGAGGACAGAGAGAGACAGAAAAAACAGACACAGACACAGACACAGACACACACACACACACACACACACACACACACACACACACACACACAGGGGGGACAGAGTCAGAGACAAAGAGAGACAGAGACAAAGACAGACAGAGAGACAGAGACACAGAGAGGGATAGAGAGAGACAGAGACAGAGAGATATACCGAAAAGAGAGACAGATATATAGAGAAAGACATGAGAGGGACAGAGAAACAGAGACAGACATACAGAAAAGAAAGACAGATACAAAGAGAGACACAGAGAAGGACAGAGAAACAGAGACAGAGAGACAGAAGCATAGAGATACAGAGGGAAACAGAGAGGGATAGGGAGTCAGAGAAACAGAGACAGAGAGACATACAGAGACAGACACACAAAGAGACAGAGAGATAGAAAGAGACAGATAGAGAGAAAGAAGAGAGAAACAGTGATAGAGAGAGAAAGAGAGAGAACATGAGTTATAACAACAAAGCCTCAATAGAAGAATCTCTTCATGAACTTGGGATGAGTAAAGCTTTCTCAAACAGTATAAAGTTTTTATTGACACAACAAAGCACACATATTTAAAATCATTTCATTAACATAAAGAATATGAAAGTACAAGTTTCATAGAGAAAATAGTTCACTGCAACTCACAGAATGAAGAAAAGGCTATTATGCAGATTATATATGGAAGATGATAACAAGGTATTTGAACTGCCTAAAAGGAGACCCGAGTGGTCAAGAATCAAAGAACAGATGCTGAACTGTCATTGACTATCAGTGAAAGTCAGGGATCTGGGTAAACTTAAGATGACACTGTGTGAGGTTAAAGGCCTATGACTCATGACACTCAAACCCAATCCACCCCAAGGTTATATTTCCAAGGTCATGGTAAGACCCAAGCAATACCAGCTACTATGTGAGAAATCATACAGTTGTCACTTGTAACCTTAGGAACCCTTCAATCCCACTTGACTCCTGCCCCAGCTACATATCCTGGAGACACTAGCTCCTGAGGGCAGAGGCTATATGAAATTCCATCCACATCACTTGACACTCGGTCTTTGTGTATCTTCCTGTTGACATACTTTCTGCAGCTGGGTGACACTCCACATCTGGCATCTGGTGCTAATTCATTCACTAGACTCTGGCTCTTGAGGTCACAGGGTTCGCAAAATCGCTTCGTTGGCAGATATGCACTGCATGGATGGGTCAGAAAATAAACTCTGCTAACCTGCAAGGATCCCTCTCATGATATCAGAAGCCACTGCACACCT